TATCGTAGGCATAGGGCCTAGCTACGTATACAGTATTTTCATTTTACAGTACGTAGTTTGGAACGATATCGGAAGTGGGGGTGCTGGCAGTGGCCTGCTATTAGGACTACAATTTATTTGAAAATATCTTGGGTCCGATCGTCCACACCAGTTGGGCCCAATCGTCTGTCACCCGAAGTTTTCATTACGATTATCAAGAACGTACACGGTCTAGGCCCTGGGCTAGGCTTAACTTGCTGTCGTCACTCTGCTACGTATACTATTACCGCATAACAAAGAAAGCGACCCACGTGGTGCATTCTTAAATATTACACACATTATTTAATTGTATTAGATGATAACACGATATCATTGATTGAACGATCTAACTACCCTCGCATCGCAGTAATACTGAACTAGGCCTAGCTTAGGCCTCATGTTTTTGTGGAAAGCTAGATAGTCGTTATGTACCCGACAGTCGGCTGCCTTTATATTTTCACCTGTTTTCAGTTTGCATTCAAAGGGTACATTGCTGCAGAGCCAACTGTCGGGGATATAGTACTGTACCTTCTACTACTCATACGTATACAACAGAAAAAAACGTCGCATGGACTTAGTGAAAAATGGAGATCTAAATGAAAAAAACGTTGCATTTCAGCAACATTTTACTTTTATTTTAGGCCTTCTTCAAAATACCTATGCCTGCAGCAGTTGATTTTTTTGCCGTAAAACCAAAATAGTTTCATCCATGCCGACTTTCCGGTCGTCGGTTAGCGTGAGCCCTGACTGAACTCTGCAGAAACTTCACATCGATCTTCGCATCGCGATGTAAAACAAAATGTCGGGAAACTTTTCTTTGACGCATGCGCATTTGCATAAATGTCTACACACACACACACTACACACAATAAAAAAACATAGGAAATAGCAAAAGTGATTACAATAGTTCCTATTGCATTACATGCATAGGAACTAAAAAGGGCAACAAATCAAAGCACAAGAAGCGAACCGGCGCTTTCGATTATCACAAATAAATTCGACTAGTAGAAAACAGGCTGAGAGTTCATAAAGAAATTAATCCACAGCAACAACAACGGCAAAGGCGACAACGACCATGGCAATAACACTGCCATTGAGCTGACTTAAATAGCTTGGTGGTTCTTGGCTTAATTCCTGGTACGGTACTAGGACGTTTTCTCGTGACCAAAAACAACTTCGCTGCCCAAGCCTCATAATAAAACGTAGTCTATGAACTGCATGGGCCTACTTTATGTGTATGTTTGTTTTCTGAAGAAACTTCCACTTGAAAGTGACTAAGGTTGAATGATAGTAACAATAACAATTAAAATAACGATGGTAATGATCATAAAAAAAAGTTAACTTAGGTAAAATAAAATACTACTACTATTATCACAGGCATTGTAAAATTAATATTAATAAATGTTTATAAGCTACGTAAGATGCTTTGTAATCTTTCCCATTTCAGTTTTTCGGTTTAATTCTCGCCGCTACTATAATATTGATAATACAAATATTGAGTATTAATGTAATGATTGATAATTGGACGTTACATAATGTGCAGGGGTTGCACCAACATCTCTCTGACAGGTGTTTCATCGTTTACCAAGAGATGGGATACGCCGACATCAGCTCCACCATGGTTATGTCACCTTCCTGAGGCACTCTCAGTCGCGCTTTTATCTGGCTTGGAAAATAATTCAATTAATTTATTTTAAAGAGATGTTGACACGAATCCCCTGCTTTTGGAAAGGGTGATAACCCTGATAATGTGTATTATAATACTTCTTTGTACATTGATTTCCATTGCAAAAAAACATTACAAATAAGAAAGCAAAAAAAGAGAAATATAAACACTTATTACAAGATGTTTAAGGATTTTTCCCTTTTAAAGCATAAATAAAAATCTCTCATTTGTATTAGTGATTTGTTACTTTCTAAGAAGGAAGAAGAAAGCTGCACGTGTCGGATCAGCCCGGCGTGTATTATAATATTTGTTCTGAATATTCAAGCGCATGCCAAATAAGTCATACACTTACCTCCCCTCACTATCAGCTTTGGTACCAAGTTTTCATACTGGGTTAGTTGAGTTGAATCCGCAAATGTTACGTTGATTTTGAAATTTAGCGGTCCACCTTTTACTGCATCAAATTCTCTGGGGACCAATGAAACAATCTCTGGCGCTGAAAAAAAAAATACAGAACAATAGGCCTACTTCGAGAAAAACATATACAACGAGTTGTGTGATATTTACGTCCTGTAATGAAAGGTGTGATAAGATTTGTACATTACTATACTAATAAAATAGGATATAATGTTCCATTTTTTTTCAAATAAATATTAATGTTAGTTTTAGGTAACTTACGTTGGTAAACTCTGAGTCGTATTGCTTCATTACCGGTTATCACTTCACTTCCTTTTCTGACTGTGATTTCGTAGACGCCTTTAATGTGGAAATACTCAACAGTAAGTCGTGAACTACTTTTTAGACAAATACACAAAACGGTCATTAACTGATAACAGGGGTGGCTCCAGTGGGGGGTGGGGTGTTCGGGGAGAAAAACACACTTCGTCGTGATGAACAAAACATTATTCTTATTTTATACTTATCACGGTAGTAGACTCCAAAATCGTTCAAAGCGGTTTAACTAATCCTTAGGAACTATGCCTCCTGGATTACTTTAGAGAGATTTTATATAGGCTAGACACAGTATATATAGTGAAGAGCAATTCAACATTTTGTTTACGAAAATAATGTTGATCAGTGCGATGGATAATTTAGTTTTTTTCCCGAACAATTACTTCCAAACTGCAGCTTAACACATAATGCTACTATGCAAAAATTAAAATTTAACTCTGCAAATAACTCTAAGTTAATAGGATAGTGCGCACCAGAAAAGTCTTAAATGATACATACAATACTGCGATGTCATTACTCGAATAAACACCTACAAACCTAATGATTGTAGACAAACTTAATGATTGTAGACAAACCTAATGGAAACAACATTATTCTCAAAAAATGCTATTAATCTTCTAATCCAGTAGAATTGCAATTTTTTTTAACCTGGTTGGGATAAATAAGTCTGTATGATCACACAATAACATAACATGATGGTAATTATGTGTGTTTTAGTTTCACATTTACAGTGAAATTAAGGGGCGTTTGTATGAGTTCATACGTAGCCATTTTACACCAAAAAATATAAGTCTCTCTGGAATAAACGCCTCTGTCTTAAACGCCCCCACAAATACCATTCTCAACAATAAAATTAAATCTCTACAACCAGGATTTGACCCTTTAACTCAACTCCAAACCGGACCACGGGGTTGCAAACCAAAACAGCACCCGATGCACCACCACCTCCCTTGTGTACATTATAAACATGTACATTTTATGTGACAGATTATGCCAATGTTCATGTACTATCAGCAGAACACATTAAAAATTATCACATTGAGTTTATAATATGGGTTTCAATTGAATACGAGGAAGCTACTTAAATAATTTATAGTTTAAATTAAATTCAATCTAAACTAAGTGATTTGAAACATGTAGTGGGAAAATTGGCCTGGCTACCACGTAAGTTTGGAAGAAACAAATAGATTACAAATCAAATTAGACCTATATGACAAGCAAGACTTATTTAAAGCATAATGTCTGATGTAAGCAATAAACTTGAATATATCCTTGGGTGTCCAACTTTATTACTTGCATTTTTGATAGATTTTGTAAAAGGTTTGTTAAAAAGGCTTGGAACTCAATGCCTAATCCTTACCCTTTGGGCATTATTTATCTTGTTTTCTTTTGTTCCTTTCCTTCATTACTGTGTTCTGTGTTCTAGCTTAATGTTTATTTTAATTTTTCTTTGATTTAAAGTATTTCCACCTTTCATTATTGGTGGTGGGGGGGTTCCACTGGGTTGATTTGGGTCACACCATTATTCTACTGTCATCGTATTCATATATGTAGGACTGGTGACTGTCCTTTTGAGATGCAATGCGAGGGTTGTATAATCCTAATCTGGCTTATGCCGTCCTGTATATTATATATATAACCAGTAGAATATGATGACAGTAGAATAATGGGGTGTTTGGGTTGATTTTGAGATTGATAAGGGAAATGTATGAGTATATTAGGGGTGTTCGGTGTTCTGGACATGTTAGTTTTAATTTATTAGTTATCCAGTTTAATCCGTTTTCCTTCGTGATTTCTGCATTTGAAATTTTGAGTTTGAGTTTTGTTAATTTCGTTTTGTATACATTAGTACTTTTTTGCAATAAGATTCACTCAGGAGACAATTCAATCGGAATCTCGAGTCTATTAAGGCATCATTTTTTAATAATACCTTGATGGGGCGAGTTGTGGATTGGGGTGAGCTTGTCAATCAATTGCTTGAGTGACGTTTATTCAATTTGTATTGAAGTCATAGTTTTCTTTACTTTATTGTCTATGTAGTTTTATTTGCCATTCATTTCATGTTTACTTTTATTTTATTTTTCTTTGACCCACCTTTATTATGTGAAGTGTGCCACTGTTTCAAAAGTGTAGTTTCCGAATAAATACATATAATATGACATACCGTTTGGAAGCGGATCCCCTTCCGACAGCCGACAGGTGACAGTAGTCACGGTTAAGTCGGCGTCCGACACCGGCCACTCCGCATTAAAGTTGGTAGTTTGTGAAGCGATGACACAAGATACACCAGTGACAGCCCTTCGATTGCGTGGAACAGCTCGAGCATTTCGGCTACCGTCTTTGAACCCAGCGCCAAATATTGTAAACTTTAATGAATAAAATATATATATTTTTATTTGTATTGTTTTGCCTGTTGACAGATTTGAGTTAGCAATGTTTGAAGGGAACTTTGTTGAATAGAATTCCAGCATAATTATTGCACAAAATGTGCAAAAAGTCAAACATTTGGATTCAGATAGGCGGCCTGGGGCTGCCACTTCCCTTTTCTCTGACTATTCATCGTAAAATGGGAAACCTGATGTAAAACGTTCGTTAAGTTTTTCTATTAATTATTCGTGAGTAACATAATTGATGATTAGTCCATCTAGGACAGTTCTATTCCTCTGGGCTAGACCTGGCCACACTCGACTCGAACCGACCTTCCCAATACAGTTTGGGTTCTCTACAAACTGAGCTACGAGAATAATATGGTAGTCCTATACTTTCTTTTTGTTTCATTAAGACAGGTTTTTTTTTTCTCAAGGTATTAAGTAATATGGAATATTTTGAATGATCAAATAACTTCAATTAGCTTCAAAGTATATAGGCATAATATTAAATTTCAAAGTCCCGTACTCTTTAGCTTAACATATGAAATTTAATATTAATCTAATAAAAACACCATGGCTTTCTTGTATAATGTTAAAAAAAAATGTCAAATCAAACCCACTTTTGAACCTCTTGTTTATATTTTAATTCGCTCTCGTTCAATTACCATAGAGCACTCTGCTTAAGATATGAAAATAAACTTGAAACGTATCGCAAATATTACTAGCAGAGTGCTCAATTGTTGACCAATAATAATAATAATAATAATAATAATTAATAGAATAGTAATAATACTAATAATAATAATAGAATAATAATAATAATAATAATAATAATGATAATAATAACATAACAAAAAATTAAAAAATAATGATGAATGACTATACATCAACATAATTATCATTAAGATGATATTTTAAGTATACAGTGCTCTATATTGAACAGGCCACCGATAATTTTATTAGGCATGTGTTGGTAGTAACATTGTATTGGAGATTTGAGCAGAAAGAGCACAGGGCATGATGTGTGAGTACCAAGAAATAGTTATTAAGAACCAAACAGCATACAGTAAGTGTATATCCATCCTTAAACACCTGTCTCTTATACACATCTAGATGTGTATAAGAGACAGGTATATGTACATACAGTATACATATATATATATATATATATATATTAATTTAAATTGATTTTTCTAAGCTTAATGTTGATTAGTTATTGGTTGAAATAAATTATGAATATAACACGACACAATAATAAAGTCACGAAAGAGTGAAATAGTTCCTACAAAAGACCAAGGTAACGGGGCAACACAATAATGGGCTCTTTGTACAGACAGTAATTGATTATACAGCAACGCATCGATGTACTATTGTGAAATCGATCGAAGGACACTGGTAATGGTGATAAAGAATAAATTACTATATGGTATGAAAAACATACATGGCTGAATACACCAAATCTAATTCTCAATTTTACATAAGTCAAGCAATATACAGAGGCCTATTACATATGAATTTATTTTTAAAATTCGATGTGTATGCTGAAAAAAATTAATGATTTTTACCTTTTGTCCTTCCGAGTTGAGTATCAGCTTTGGTCTGACCGACTGTATGGTTTGGCAGCCGGATCCATCGCCACCGCATCTTCCACAGGCATCTTCAACAAGCCCACTAAATAATCAAACATTTCGCGTTATATCATCTTATTGTCTCGCTGTCACAGTACCTTACAGTACATTTTCTTTAATTTGTTGCACTCTGACGTAGGCCTCAAAGATGTGGAATGGAATAATATGTTCTGCCTCTGTTAGATTTGTCCTCCACTTGACCAGTTCACTAGCGAGACGGATTCACTAGCGATATCATTCCTCCTCCCTGTATATTTGTCGATTCTCAATGTTGAGTCCATATATATTGCACTGTTTTTATTATTTATCTATGTGCTTATCAAACCAATTCTATTCGACTCATAAATTTTGTTGTCGTTCTTTTATGTAATTTTATCAATTTTTTTACATTATTATAATTTTAATTTACCTTGGTTTTTCATTTTTTCTTTTTTCGTTTTTATATTATATCTAAGCATGCAGTTAAGTTAAGCGATCACCGCGTCGAAGTTCGAATATTGGGCGTTCGCGTGTTCGACGTACGTACGCCTTAGGCTATGTTCAGACACAACGACTTACGCTAGCGTAACGTTAATCGAGTGGTGTGAACTTGTGCGCGGCGTAGCGAACGCCAGTATTATCGCGCAATCACTGGCGTACGGTAATCCAGCAACAGACCCCAGATTAGCGTACGCCACTGATTTACGACAGTCACGCATCGGTTATTTTGAACTCAGCCAAGATTTGACCAATCAAAATAAACCTAGATGTAAACAGAAAATAAAATGCGCGAATTACGAATACGAATATTTCGCGCGAATACTTACGCTAGCGTTCATTAATCGCCCAGTCTGGACATCTCGATAGTTACGCCATGGATTAACGTACGCCCGGCGTTAGATACGCCTGGCGTATCCCACAGGTCTGAACGTAGCCTTAAGGCCGGTTCCCACTGAACGCGATCAATTGAATTTCGCGTCGAAATGAGGCGCGCGCGGCTGAATCGAAGATGCGACCGGCGTTTCCAATGTGAACATGCAAACGAATTTGTAGTCGAACACGCGAACGCCCAATATTCGAACTTCGACACGGTGCGCGTGGTGGTCGCGGAGGCTTCGCCTGCGAATCCATCACAAGAGTTGATCCAAGACCAACTTTTTCGGATTCGCGAGCGAATTCGCGGCCGATGGACCAATCGCAAGGCTTAGATTCAATTTATGTCAAAGGTCAACAATAAAGTCACGACCATTGTCGAAATAATGTACAGATGTGCGAACGATGACCGACGAGTCCGTTTCATGCAAACTCTGTGGAACAGTAGGTGCCCTTGTTTAGGTCTGTGACAAGGGAGCAAAGAAAGTATGTGACAATGCGTGGAAAAGGATTTGCAGAGATGAGTTGAGTTATCTCCTCTTTCTACCAGTATTAGGCCTGTCCAGCCTAGGCCCTACTACTACCTGAGACCCACAGTAGGGTAGGCTAGGCTAGGCCTACTATCTACCCTTAGGAGGCCTAGCTCTAGGCCTTGAATAAATATATTAAAAAAAACTAACGTATGTTTATATTCACTCTTTTCATTCATTATAGAGTTCTGGGAATGTTAATCCTGAGGATTTTAGTCTGATTCGTCTCACAGCCCTTTTCCTCCGTCTATCAATGCGATAACAAAATCACTTCTCTGTTGCCACCCGCCATTTCGAGGTTTTGCGCGCGGTCAGCAGTGGGAACAGGCAAGCGAATCATTGGAAGCGAGACATTCTTTACCGAAAGTCAACTCTTGGGAACTTTGCGCGATTCGCTTCGCTTGCCGCGTGACGCTCGACGCTTTCGCTTGACAAGTGTAATTAAAGCGTACGTACGGGTTACATAAGGCGTACGAACGCCTTACTAAGGCGTACGTATGGGTTACATAAGGCGTACGTACGCCTTATTAAGGCGTACGCGGGTTACATAAGGCGTACTTAATAAAGCGTACTTACGCCTTAATAACCCATAAGGCGTACGTACGACTTATAAGGCGTACGTAAGACTTAATAAGGCGTACGTACGCCTTATAGCTTCGTATAAAATTACGTTTTGGGGTAAACAGTACGGTAACTAATTATATTAGTGGTGATTATATTATAATAGAAAGTTGGGTCCTACTAAGAAACGTTTTAGGATAAATAACAGTATGCTGCAACTGTTAATCTATTCTATACAATTAAAATGTATTATTTCTTAATTTTCCTCTCAATAGAGAAATCTGAAAACCACATTTAGTACCGGTCTTTATTTATAGAGATTCTATTAAACACCAAACACCATGGCTTTGGCAGACCAAACTGAAGATTTTCCTTTCATTTAAATATTTACATTTAAAATATATAGTGCTTTTAGTGCAGCGTTTTTGTTTTTGTTTTTTTGTTTTTTTTACAGACTACATACATCAAATTAATATACATAAAATGTGATGTTTTGTGCTTAGAGTGAATATGAGGAATTTTGACAGGCCCAACTGAAACTTTTCCATTCAGATAAAGAATTCTTGAAAATATATAGTGATTTTAATGCAGTTAAAAAATAATGATGAATGACTATACATCAACATAATTATCATTAAGATGATATTTTAAGTATACAGTGCTCTATATTGAACAGGCCACCGATAATTTTATTAGGCATGTGTTGGTAGTAACATTGTATTGGAGATTTGAGCAGAAAGAGCACAGGGCATGATGTGTGAGTACCAAGAAATAGTTATTAAGAACCAAACAGCATACAGTAAGTGTATATCCATCCTTAAACACTTGGAATCAAACTATCATACGTGTAGGGCCTACCATTTCTTAATTTCACTTTAATAGATATATAATGATAAAGACCACTTATTTGTTAGTGCCGGTTTTTAATTAAAAAGAATCTAACTAGAGACTACAGCAGCTAAAGACCACTAACCATGGGGACATAAAGGTTGTCTTTAATTTGAGAAAGACCTGAACTTGCGTTCCTAAAATATGTAAATTACTGGCCCTGACATTTTAAAATTACGTTCTTAAAACGTAAACTGCCTAACCTCTCATAATTACTTCCCTCTCATTACGTCCTAAAACGTGTAAAATGCCTGACCTGTTTAGTACACGGTCGCAGCCGAAACAAGCCGTCCTAACTGCTTCATCCTCCTCATTCGTACATACACCACATTCGTTTTTTATATTATCTTTCTCGATTCCCGTTCTTCCTCCATAGCAGATACCGCATGTCTTGTCCAACTTTGCTCTTCTACGACCTAAAACGAATCGATCCGAAACTTTGTCTCTTGGATAAAGTTTCAAATTGTTATTATTGCCAAAAGCAGAAAAAAAAAAAAAAAAAAAAAAAAAACCACACAAAAGCAAAAGCAAAAACAAAACACCCACGATGCGTTTCAGACTGCCACCGGCAGACGGCGTTGCGTTGTCTAGCGCTCATCAAATGAAGTGAAGTTGGATTCGTTGTATAGGACGGTCGTACAACCGTTGAACGACGAAGTGAGTGTCCGACTTGTACAGGGCGCCGTTAGGGACATTCGCTATTTTGTCGACAAAGGCATTTTGTTGGGACAGAATGCTATTTTAGCATTTTGTTGGGACTAAATGCTATTTTGTAGACAGAATGGTATTTTTGTAAGACAGAATATTTTTTTTCACTACAAAATGCTATTTTGTCGACAAACTAGCTTTTTCTGAGACACAATTAATTTTGTCGCCACAAAATGTTATTTTGTCGACAGAAGCACCTTTTGTGTGAGACAGAACGAGGTTCAATGCACACGAGGAGGCGGAACCTCTTCTTGGTTGGATGACGCGCTAACAAACCACCAGAGCCGTAGATAGAAAGAGTTTATGAAATAAAATATGCTGGTCATCTTCAAACCGATACAAATAGCCTAGGCCTATTCTTAATTGGAACAACATACCATTATTTATAAAAGAATCAAAATCAGTGGACACATTTAAGTCACTACTTAAAACCCATTTATTTCAATAATTAACTGTTTAATAATTTATATCGTGTTCCTTCACAACGCAGTGGCCTGCTTTGTCTCTCTTGGGGCCACTATCTTGGTCGCAGACTCTGAGCACCCGGTTGCCTGTGGCAGGGCAAATGTGAAACCTGCTCCTTTGTTCGCGCCACCTAGGTAGGGGACCGGGACTGCGCTAGGGCAGAGGCGGATAGTTAACCCTTTGAGACCTAGCGTTGTTTTGCCACCACACCCTATAATATTGTAATTCAACATCTTTTCTATAATTTCTATAATTTAATGTAAAGCGCATAGAGGCACTGTGCAATATGCGCTATATACATGTAACTTATTATTATTATTATTATTATTATTATTATTATTATTATTATTATTATTATTATTATTATTATTATTCTTTGTAAATTGTAATCTAAACAATAAATCAAGGTTGAAGAATTATTGCATTGAGAGAAATTGTACAACATATGCCTAATTAAACATAATAAAGAAGCTAGGTCTATGTAATTATTATCATCATTACTGTATTATTATTATTCATTGAATTTTTCATTTGTAATTGTAAAACATTTAAACGTTTTGATTTAGTGTATTAAAACAATCAAATATACAATTATATTTAAAATTTTATCTTAAAAATCTTCCTAGTTGCACATTGATTTGTAAAGCACAATGGGGCACGTTTGCATAAACACGGGGCAAGTTTTCGCTTTTATTGGAGGATTCAATTTATATTTTCAATTTTAACTTAAGCTAGGCCTTAGACTGATAATTCATGTAGCTTTCTGGAAATAATATAGATATTTTAACAGCAAAGTGCAACATTGCATCAATAGAAATATCGGTGCTGCTTTGAAAATCCTTCCTTTTTTTTAATCATTGTAATTATATTCATAGTATTATAGGCCGATTAAAGTACTACCTTATGGTGGTAGGCCGAAGAAGTACCGAAATCTAGGCCTACCTAGATCATACCGCGAAGTGGGGTGGGCGAAGTTTGGGCTGGCGGCACATGCTTTAATATACTACGTGGATAGCGAGATTTTTCGATCGCCATTCAAAGTTAAAATAAAATCCCAAATCCTCCTCCTTTTAGGAATTTAAGGAAATTGATACATTGGTGTTCCTTTGTTAGATCGATTGCAGCAACCCCAAACCGAACATAACGGTATTTCACATTATGTAGCAATTATCATAGTCTACACACCTGCCAACCCTTGTTTCATGAAAATCTGGAGATTTTTTCAAGAATCCTAAAAAAATCTGGAGATTTACCCAAAAATTTGGAGGTTTCCAGATTAACCAAAAGATGATGCAAGATACCAAAAAAGTCACGTCACTACAAATGGCTGCTTGTTTATTGCACCGCAAAGCAAGCAGGCGGCGAATAGGCCTACATTGAATAATAACGATCAAATCAATCAAATTATGCATAAATCGGAGTATTTTTTTGGGAGGAGGTGGGGGGGGGGGATGGCCTGTGAAATCAGGTGAAAATTACATTCGATCGGGAGAACTGGAGATTTGTTTAAATATTGGGTGACACCCAACAGGATCGGGTGAGTTGGCAGGTCTGCATCTACCATAACTGCTAACTTCCTATCCTATCGCGTTAGTTTGTGGCTCACCAATGTTTTGTTTGGTGACAATATGGCTGGTGTAAGTCATGTGATGCGATCCACCCAATCACACGCGCGTATAGCAGAATCCATGAAACCGAGTTGGCCATATCTCTATGGGTTGGCCAAACTCTCTATCTACGGCTCTGCCACCTTTTGCGTCTGATCAGTCACGTGATCTGTATACGGTAATCCCTCTGTTTTTCTTTTGAATGCTCGAGTTAATACACTGTAAACTGGCAGCTCTAGACTGTTTTTGCTGACTGTGTCTGTTGTAAACGACACCATAATTGTTGTTTCTGTTAAATGTTGGACATGGACATGCATTACTGTGTTAGTTGGCGCCTGCTGCGCTGCACAACGTGAACGGATATGGGTTAAAATTTAGGGGGGGGGGGGAAGTCAAAGCCCAAAAAGAAAGGGGTTCCGCACGTCCTCCCCTGGGTAAATTGTGATTCCCAGATGACGGAATAGGAGCTTTCTATACTTCTGAGGTATCTTTTAATGACTTTTAAGTTTTTCAAAATTCAAGGTTTTCCTACTTTTGAAAACGGTCAGTAAATTTTTCTCAGTCTTATTACAATAAACGGCATAGGCCTATTATGTGTGAACCGGTATACATACAGAAAAAAATGAGTAATAATAATAATAATAATAATAATAATAATAATAATAATAATAATAATAATAATAATAATAATAAAAGCATTATTTTATAATGCGCCATATGTCCACAACAATATTGCTCCTAGGCGCAGTACATTTTACAATAGTTAAAACGATCTCAAAGATTTGAAACAACGATATTAAAATGATCCAATTATAAAACATTTTGAAAATTAAAAAAATACCCTTTATAATGAAGAACCCCCCAAAACATTTTACAAGTTTCGGATAATCAGACATTTAACAAGCTTTTAATTAAACTTTAAATGAAAAAGATAGGTTTTAAGATGACGTTTAAAACTAATGTACCGTGCGAATCACAGTACCGTACCTTTGTGTACGCGGTAAACTGTTCCATAACACTGGGGCAACTTTGCAGAACGCTCTGTCCCCGGTTGTTCGCAGTCTGACTAATGGAACTCTAAGCAGTGTAGCATCACTGGATGACCTGAGTGGGCGAACTGGTTGATTAGAATTAACGAGACTGCAAGTAGTATGGACCAGTGTACATTCTTGCTTTATATGTAATTATGAGTATCTTATATTGAATCCTGCGATGAACTGGTAGCCAATTAAGAGATTTAAGAACAGGTGTGATGTGTTCACTGCGCTTTAGTTCTGGTGAGTACCCTCGCTGCCGAGTTCTGAAGTCGCTGTAATTTTGCAATATAACCATTTGGGACACCGTACAGCAGACTATTTAATGAGTCCATCCGCGAAGGAACGGAAGCATGACTCGCGTCAGCGGCTGCAACAGCAGTAGAGATATTTTCTGGCTAATCTAATGTTGTATAGCTGATGATAGGCAGTTTTACACACTGAATTTATGTGCAATTTATAAGATAATGTTGAATCAATAATTGCTTCTAGATTGCGTATTTGATCCTTGGAAACTATTTTGCAGCCCATTAATATTGATACTTCTGTTTTCCAAGACTTTACGACGTTGCTGTACCGATGATAAAAAAAATCTGACTTATCAGCGTTAAGATTGAGTCGGTTGCAAACCATCCATTCTTGAATCTCACGGACTCAGCATTCTATTTGGTCAATCTTCCTAGAAGTGGCATTAGAAAATGGAGAGAATGACAAGTATATCTGTGTGTCATCCGCGTAAAGATGGTAACAAAGTCCGTGTTTTCTAATGGGATCACCCAAAGGTAGTGTAAAAATTCTGAATAAAACAGGTCCAAGCACAGAGTACAGCATTGTGGTACACCGCAAGATAGAGGAAGTGGACTTGAAAGTGCATACGCATACTTGAAAGTTGCATAGGCCCTATACTTTTTCCATGAGTCGATGAACACCAAAAAGAAAGGGAGTCGAGGTCTGGTGGGAACCATTGTAACAAACAAACAAAATCAGATCACGGGTCCTGAAAGGTAGGTCTATAATTGTTTTTGCCCGGGGGAGGGGTCAGGACCCCTCATATCTGCCAATGCAGTCATACTCATAGCCAAAGGAAACGTTAAGCACCACATACAATATTTCTGAATGTTACACTTGAAAATACATGTCAAAAGCCCATAAAACCCATCCTAAAAAATGTGTATGCCTAGCCTCACTCACTGATTGTCCTGAGACCTTCATTTGTCTTGGTGACCAAAAAACCGATTCCAATTAACCATTTATGCTAGTCATAACCATAATTTAATATATAGTTATATTCATAAGATACAGTCTACATTGGGAAATATTTCCGTGATTTATTAGAGTAGGATTGTGGATTGTGACTCCCGGCCCTTGGCCGGCATTTACCACGTTACAATACCTCACTAGCTGCTGTTCAGAACTAATCCTGTAAGATCGAGTAAATCCGGTATGAAGGAATGATGGGATAAGTCATGAGCTGAAGATACTGTAATGCAAGTCTAAGAAATATGATGCCATACAGAATTGACAAGAACACAGAAATTTAGAAGACCTGTCCTAGAATGTTCACTAAAAAAGTCACTACAGTAAACAACACCACACATATCCTGATAACGGAATCCCCATGTGGATATTTTATTGGTCAATATAACACATGTACAGTAAGACAGCATAGAGTTGCAAAAAGAGTTCAACCGGACGCCATTTTCTTCACTGACACACCACTGATCCAAATTTCTAACGTAATTATTAAGCTGTTTTATCTTACTTTTTCTTTGTAAATTTTAATTGATGATTAAATGTTGTTCTATAACTAACATAATGCGAGCTTTTGTGTTTTTAGTACATTTTGATGGTAATATTAGATTTTAAAATGTCTATTCCAGAAAAACTATGCAGTCATTCAGGCGTAATGAACGGTAAACTGGCGTCGTAACGACACGTCTGTGGTACTTTATAGATCATATTTTTTATAAATGATATTCTTAAATACATTCCTTAGCAAACAAAGTTTGACCATAATTTACAGAAATTTACAGTCAGCAGTGATTCCTGATAATGACATAATTAATGTCGAAATATTGAATCCCGACACGATAGCGTGCATTTCCATAATTGGAGTATGCGTTATACTATCTTATCTGAGATTAATTAGTGGACTTTAAATTTAATTATGTCTTACATATATATCATTTTGTCGATAAAATAGCATTTGTGGTGACAAAGTAAATTATGTCCTACAAAATCATGATCTTATGGTAACAGAATACATTTTGTGGCTAAAACAGCATTTTGTCGAGACAAAATGGTATTTTGTCCAGACAAAATTGTAGTTTGTCGATCGAATGTCCCAAACGGCGTCCCGTAGACTTTCCCGTAGGTTTCTCTACACGCTGTTCTCTAGCTGTGAACGTGTGACGAAACATAATAATCACATTAATATCAATGAACCCAGCTAATGGCCTACCTGTGGTGCAGTTTCCATTACAATCCCTAGCAGTGGGAGGATCGGACCCGTCGGTCGGAGCACGCACACATTGACCACAGTCGTTTCTCACGTAGCGAGGACCATCGGCTGTTTCACATTGACCAAGGCAATTGAGACGATGTTGATTCACGTTTTCTGCTACACCAGTTGTCCCACCTTAAAAATAATGATAGTAATCCTAATCATATTTACATAGTATATGTAGGCTGTCTCTTATACACATCTAGATGTGTATAAGAGACAGGTGATTTTTAAGCACATTCCGTGTTCTGATACCTGTCTCTTATACACATCTAGATGTGTATAAGAGACAGGTATATATATGTATATGTGTATGCCTATTACACGATTATTATTTGGCATACTTACCGACACACTCGCCACATAAATCTGTCCTGGCCGTCCCACCGCAGACATCGTTACAGTCTTTTGTTGGCCTAGATGCAGGCGAACCGCGGCGGCGTGATGTTTTACATTGTCCGCAGCTGTCCAACCCAGAATCCTCGTCCCTTCCTGTACTTCCGCCGACACACACCCCACATTCGTTTTCTTCCGCTTCGCCGTCGCAGACATCATTGCAGTCCATCGTGTTGACATAACCGTCGTGGCGTATGCAATGTCCACACTCATCCATCCCATAATTGTTTCGCTTACGGGTTCGCCCGCCGACACATTGCTGACAACGGTTTATAGTCGCTGTTCCGCCGCAATCTCCGTTGCAATCCACTTCTCCGTCACATTCTTTGTTTTTAATAGTATAGGAAAAACAGAAAAATAAAACAAATATACTGGTCAGAATAAATATTTTGTATACATAAAATATCATCGGCCCTATTTTTGCAACCTTTGCAACTAAGAATTTCTGTAGTTACATGTTTGATTATGATAACAGGGGTGGCGCCAGAATTTGCCAGACGGGATGGGGGTGGGGCGG